CCATGATGGGCTATCAGTATCTCACCATCCAAACAAGGTTTCTCATTTTCCACAGTAATAGGGAACAGAAGTGGTTTAGAGGTGTACCACATTTGGTAGCATGGCCAAAGAGCTGTTACTTGCTGAAGATTTTAACAGCTACCACTTCATAAACAAAAAGGGAGCCAGTGCTTGAAATCACTCTCTGGCTGCATGGGCACACAGGCATTCTGGATAAACAGTCAGAATAAAAACAGACACTAGTAGGACTTGTAGTCCTTCAGATATGTCTATACATTACTTTTATATCCCCTCTTCTTCATAGTTTCTGTAATAATTACTGTAATCCCACTGTGAAACTAGTAAATTCATAAAAATGGCAAAAAAATATAGTCAGTGTACAGTCACATAAAATGCTCTCCATGTAAAAAAAAGTAATGTAGTCTTTGTAAAGTATTTTACTATATGGCATGAAGTAAACATAAAAGATTGATTGGTTTTATAAAGAAGTGTAATGTATTTTGGAGTTAATAACTACTAATAATCAGGATTAGACATTTCACGCAATGCTTGTCTACCATCTTTTGACTTTTCCCAAAAGCCTAAAATTTTTAGCCGTCTTCAAAATTACTAATTTCACAAGTTGCCTGCAAAACATCCCCACTGAAACAAAAAGAGTCAAGTGTTAGAGGAAACTAGAAGTAATCAAGGGAAAAGCTTAAAGTGGATTTGTAAACTTCATCTGGAAGGATGATTGATGCACTTTCCCCTCCCACACTGCTATAACTTTAATCTTACCTGGAGGAAAGAGAAAGAAAGCAATCTGACACTTAGCTCACTCAGCTCTGCTTTCCAGACTGCAGCTCGGAGATAAGGAAGCAATGGAGGCACCGCTTCCTCTCACCCTTGGATATCTGGGATGCTCTCTATGGGAGGATAAAGAGCAATTACTCCTTGGAATTCAACCTCAAAGTTTTATTCATTTAGCTAATTCCTATGTCTTATCTCATTCATTATTAACATGTGTGGAAAAGTGCTCATTATCAACATTTACTGAAAAGTCCTCTGATCCCATCAGCTGGCCTTTACCAGTATTTCCTTGTTCTCCCTGCAGTTTGCACTTCCTAGACCAACTGCTCCTGTGGACAGAAACTGTTAGGCTCCTCTTCAAAGTTCACAAGTTCAATCCTGTCTTGACTGGCTAAACGGCATCTGCTTTCCTGTATATGCCTCAACAGCACATACAGAACAACTATAAAACTTGTTTCCTAAGGAAGGTTTCTTCATGTGAAAAAGGTTTCTGTTCTCACCACTGACCTTATTCTGGTCAAAATGACCAGATTAGCAAAAGCATAATATAAACTGTTAAAGCATTACCCATCTTGTTTTGCTTTAAACAGATCAGGGAGCACACACATCTTAGCTAGAAGGTAAGAGCAGGTGCCAGCTACTCCATCAAACTGAGGCTGACAGCCTTTTCAAACAAGCCATGGCACAGGTAGTATAAGATGGGCTCAGTACACCCATTAGTACATTTCATATAATTCCCATCAAAGCTAAGAGGCCAGCATCCATGGTCAGAGGCCTAGCTACACATAAAGGTTCAAAACAACCATCCTTCTCAGGAGCACTGTCATTGTCAGGGTGTGGGGGTCATCACTTTAGTCTGAGAGCTTTGGCAGAGCACCGTTCTGGGTAGTAATGTTATCTCCTATAAAAGGTGCTTCAGATAGGAACAATAAAGATGAAGAGCTAGATGAGGGAAAACTGGTTTACTTTGTGTGTGAGAACCTGCCACCAGTCACAGAACCCAAGCTTGTGGGGGATCGTAGGCAGAGCAACAGGCGTCACCTCCTTGAGTGAAGTTTGGAAACAATACAAGGAGGGACAATATAACATGTTGATAATGCTATGAGGATACAAATCCCTTCCTTCTCCTTTAGCACTGGCAAATCATGAAGTTAGAAATATGGTCCATTAGGCATTACTCTTGTCCTCTATCTTAATACTTCAAATGCTTTTCAGATTCGAAGCAGAGTTAAACAGTGCTAACTCAAGTGGTACCTCAAGACTGCCATGGCCAGTGGGTGGTCCTCACATCATACAGATGTTCTTTCTGGGGTGATGGGCTATTGCTTTCCTGAATCCATCACATGGGCTCAAGATGATTGTATGCAAAATAGTCTAGTGCTGTGCATTGCAGTGTGCTCCCTCAGAGGTATGTGTTGGCATGCCAAAGGTGTGGTTGCAATCTATCACTCTGCTTCATTCAAATTGTCTTAACATAATTAAAAAGCACAATTAAGCTCCAGGCTATGATGTTTGAAGATCTCCTCAAGGTGTCTTCAAAGACATTAGTCTGCAGCATGCTAGAGCTTTTCAATCATGTTATATTAAAAACATCACAACATGCGTTCTGTTTGCTTAGCACAGGATTTCAGAAGCAGAGCATGTGGTTTCCATGTTTAAACTGGAAGCATGTTAGGAAGAGAAGTGGGAGAACTAGACAGTGTTGTCTCTAGTACCACCCACTAATGCTGCTTCTCTAATGAAAACAAAATGGAAGCAGCAAAAGAGCGTGGTAGATTGGGACCAAGACTTTTGTCTGCAGAAAGGTATTGCAAAGTTCCTACTGTTTGTCCAATAAGTGTAGGAAATTATTTTTAAACTATTTTTGCCAGTATCTTTTATAGTAAACTTGTCTTCTTTTTCAAAGAGAAGCTACAATCTTTAAAATTAATCATTAACCTCTGCTACTAACTCGGCTTTCAATCAGAAAACATCATCCCTGGGACGTCTGATCTGTTATTGTGTTGAAGATGATAGGCAGCTGTCTTTGAAATTAAGTGACACAAATTGTCAAATTATAAACCACGTGTGCATCTAAGTGTGCATGTGCTTCTAGTTAATTTCTGATGTGAATTTGTATCTGTAGATGTTGATGACGTGGTTAATCTGTGTTACAGCAATATTCATAAAATAGTCAATGAGTGGGAAAAACAGGGGGAAGAGGGCAAAGGAATGCACTTCTGTCTGGTATTACTGACACTTTGTCTGGTGGATGCTTCACCTCATATGATCCAGAAGTCTCCAGTACCAGTTCACAGTCCTGGGGAGGCTGCAACCACCCCTGCCCTCAGTACTCTACCAAAAGGTAAAAGAAAACAACAATTGTTGGCAAGGCTTAGAATCTGGGTATTGAGAGGAAAAACAAATTACCTGAAAAAGAATGAAAGATGTTGCATGAAAATGAAAAGTTTAGGAGAAAAAAAAAAAGAAATCTCAAGTGTGCTTTAAACCCCTTTGGTCAAGCAGGACTAGCATTAATTTCAAGTCTACATCATCATTCAGATGTTTTTGTGCCATGGCAGGTTTAAGCCTTCAGTTCCCTCCTGTAACACTTGATGTTATATAAGATGTCATTTTAGAAAATATGAGACCATGTTGGAAATCAATTTCCTGAAGAGCTAGGAATAGGGTCATATTGTTATCTAGGGTTATACTTGCAGCTCAGGCAATTTTCTTTTTTAATAAATATGGATAACTCCATAGGACTCCAAACAACAACAAATATTGTCCTTTATCTTATGTCTATGTTTCAAAATTGTGGAAAAGATGCTTTGTGCAAAATGGGTCAGAAATCTTTCTGAAGACACAAAATGATACAAAGTCCTTGATCGAAAACATAAAAAAGCCAAAGACACCGCTACAGAGTTGTATTGTGTGAGAGCTGAGCAGTCAAATACAAATCCTCAGTTCTGATCAGGAAACTAAGTAGCTAAGTTAAAGTGATTTACTGTCCCAGACCCTACACAGGGCTTGCTCTCTCATACACAACACTGCATCGAGTGACCCGAGTGTTGGGCTGGATCTGCTTCACACCTCGGTGGTTTGGATCACAGCCAGAAGAGCTCCATTCCCTTTCCACAATTTTGTGCAGACAAGCCTGTAGAAGAGCCAGCCATACCAAATACATACAGCCAAATCAGAGCTGAAAGCATCCAGGTCCTGCTACTTTTCAAATACGGGGTACTAAGTAACGTGAAGTGAGTTTAGCCCATGCCAAACCAGAACAACAACAAAGATCCCCCAACTCGCAACACAAACCAAACCATTTTTATTCCTTTGAATTACTTTTGCCGCCTTCTTGCTAGATCGATCATAGGTGCTCTGCTTTAGCACCAGGGCTGGGCAAACCCGGATGCCCACGACAGCTATTCTCTGAGAGCAGCCCGTGTGCCAGGTATGGAATACAAATCACTCAAAGCCAGGAGAAGCCTTTTGCCCCCTCGCCCTAAAGGCTGCTAAGAAAAGCTGATGCCGTTTAGTTCGAGACACCCATCAGGGCCCCTTCCCCCATGCTATAAAGTACGCGAACCGTGACTGCAGCCCTCCCCAGAAAGAGAGCGGCTCCCCGGCTGCCTCTCCCTGGCCCCCACACCGGCGCCCCTCACTTCCCGACAGGGACCACCCTTCCCGGGGTTCCCGCCAGCCGGAGCCGCTGCAGCCCCGCTGCTGCCCCGGTGACCGGATCGGACTCCCGCCTCCTTGGGGCCATCAGAGCCCCTCAGCCACTGCCTGGTCCGCTTTCCCCACTCGGGCACAGATCCTCTGCCTGCACCCGCCAGCCTGCCTCGGGCGAGACGGGCGGGGAAACCCCCGCTGGCAGCCGTGGTGGCGGGACGACTCCCAGCTTCCCCTCCTCCGCCGTCTGCGGGGTGGGGCGGGGGGCTACGGGCGCGGGAAAGGAGGGGCACGAGAGTAGGCGGCATACACCGGGATCCGGCTCCGCGGAGGGGCGGGAAGCGCAGAAGCGCGAGCTGCCTCTTTAAATCCATCCCGTCCCGAGGGGCGTGGAAGGGGCCGCCAAGGGCGGGGAAGGGGGGGCTGGTTGGCTGAGCGCGCGCGCGCGGCTTCGCCCGGCGCCCCGGCGTTCGGGCAGGGAACGGGAGAGGGGGCGGTGGCGGCCGCGGGGGCGGAGCGGCGCGGAGGGAAGCGGAGCGGAGCGCCGGGAGAAGGGTCGGCCGTGCGGGAGCGTGCGTGGCGGCGGCGGGGGGTCCCGGCCCGGCTCCCCCGCTATGGCCACGTCCCCGTGCAGCAGTAGCGGCGTCTCCTCGTCGTCCTCGTCGGGACTGGGCGCGGACGCGGGGCTGGAGATCCGCACGCGCTCCGTGGAGCAGACGCTGGTGCCGCTGGTGTCGCAGGTAGGAATGCTGCCGCGAGACACCTGCACCCCCCATCCCCGCCCCGCAGCCCTCGAGAGGCGGGCGGCAGCGCTGCCTCCCGCCGGGAGGCTCTGACCGCCTCCCGCCGCCCGCTCGGGACGGGGCTCGGCCGCCGCCGCCGAAGTTTGCGCGCTCGAGTTGCGGCGCTCCGGAGCCCCCTCTGTCCGGCCGCGCGGGCGGGGGTGGCTGCTCCCAGCCGCTCCCCCTTCCTCCCTCCTTCCCTTCTTCCCGTCCCGGGGTCCCGCCGGCCGGCGGCGGCTGGCCGAGCGGGGGCCGTGCGGGTGATGCCGCTCGCACGTCCGTCCCCAGACAGACTCCGAAGTTCCCCGCAAGGTCGCGGGGAGCGTTGCGTAACGCCGGGCGCTGCGGTGCCGCCGGCGGGGCGAGCCCCGGGATGCCGCGGTGGGTGGCGGGCGGAGGGACTGCCCCGCCGCTCGGGTGCTCCCGGCTTCCCGAGCCTCCCGCCTGGCGGCTGTCCGCGTGGGAGCGCGCTCCTTTCCTCGGAGCTTGGCGCTGGCGAGAGCGCTCGTCTTCCAGGGGCTTTGGCGGAGCTTTGTGTTTTCGCGGTCTGGCTTGAGCGTTGCATGGATTGGAGCTCTAACCGCGTCGCAGGGTAGTGTCCGATTTTATGAAGTTCAGTAATACGCAGACTGTGTCTTGGTGACCTTTTAACGTCTCCCTCCCTCACAGTGCTAAATGACCTTAAAATAAAATAAAAATCGGTCTGCTAAGTAATTCTTTGCCTGCCACTTCGGCGTTGGTGGGGTTTTTGTTGGGTTTTTTAGTTACAAAGTCGGTGTTTGGCAATATTTAGTTACAACATTGGCGTTTGACATACCCCATAAAATTTTCTTCCTTGAAAAATAATCTATGAAAACAGCACAGTGTTTGCTGTATGGAGTTTTTGTGCTTTGGGCGCTGATCATTAAAGTTAGCTAGTAAAAACCTATCTGTACAAAATCTTTAGGCAGTATGTAACAGATGTACAAAAATAACTAGTCCTGGTGAGGTCGAGTTGTGTTTATACCATCATAGCCGATCTGGAAACAAATGTGATAAGCCTTGTTTTGCATTTGTACAGCTGGGCTGCTGGAAGGGTTTGTGATTGGTGATTGCGTTTCCGTACTTATCATGGTAACGTATATTTATTTTTCTGTTTGGAGAAATCAGTCAGTTCTGCAAAGCCCGAACCACTTGTTCCAAGGCAAAGTAAAGTTAAATAAATTTCCTAGTCCTGAAACAACTGAGGTAAAATATGGAGACCTCTTTTAGGAAGCTTAAGAGCAATCAGAAACACATCCAATTGCAAAAGCTGAATGTAGTTGCAAATGTTAAATTCTTACTTTTAACAGATTTAAATGAAGATGTGCACGTTCTTATTTCTCTGGAATACTCTTTAATAACAATGATTTTACTTCTCTGTGGGTTTGTTGGACATGTAATATGTCATGTATAATTTTTCATTGACCACAAAACCTGTGACAGCATCTTCCAGAAGGAATAAGCAGCTTTCACTTCCTCTATATGCAGGGTAAGGTGTCTGAGCATTTGTGAACACTCAGAGCTTACTCTTTTGCTGCTAAAGGATTCCAGACAAGCTTGTTCCCTTGAAGCGTGAGCACTGAGCTCTGTTCAGATCCAGGCTGAAGTTGCTGATGGTGTCAGCAGTAGCTCTCTACACTTGACTCCTAAAATGCCCCACTTACTGTAGTGGCTAATCAGTTCTGTCTGTACTGTTTCATTTAGATTGTTCAGTAGAGATCTCACTGGCTGGCTTTGTTTGGGAATTTATGCAAAATCGTGTTTATACAGTACTTAGTCTCAGAATTTGTTTTTAGATTCTGCATAAGCTGTGTATGGCAGTAACCTTCAGGACTTTGTTTTTTTGCTTGTGGAAATAGACTTGCAAAGGGCTTTTTTCTTGCTGTGAAGTTAACTTTACAGTTTATCATTTTGTTAAAAGCTGAGAAGTGTGATACTTGTATACTACTGAAAAAACCAGTCAGAACCTTGCTACTGCTTTTTACTACTTTAAGCAAAGAAGAAACAAAAGGTGCTCTGTCTGACAAACTCACTTTCAATCTTTCATGAGGAGCTAAATCTTTTCTTTAAGGAAAAAAAAACTGCATTGATTGTTATTAAATTCATGTGCTGTACAGTACATTGTCCTGATTTTAATGTTGCAAACATGTGTTTGACCGCTTGTTCTTAGTCAGCAAACGTGAGGGTTGTTTTGTTTGATTTTTTTTTTTTTCTTATAGACTATGTTGTAACAGAGTATATTTGCTACCAGCAGTGGTATAAGATTCCTGTTTTTTCACTGGGAGAAATTACCCTTGGAGTCTATTCAGACCCTGATGCAGCCTATTTCTAGAAGTGCCACAAATGACAAAAGAAGATGATAGATTTAAGCTGCAGTATTAAGCATACGTGCTAATACTTCTTCACTGTATACATAGCTGTACTGTGAAAAGAATCATTGTACACTATTTTGCAAAGCATGTGGCATGCAGTTCAGAAAATGGGGCTTCTGGGGTCAAACACTACAATTTTCTTTAAAATAAGTAGAATTTTCTTCTTATAGGTGTCTTTAGTTCAGTGTTCCATGCATAAATAGTATGGCATTCTTCAAAAATCTAGACATTTCCTTCACTGCTGCTACCCATTTCCAGTCTAATTATTTTGGATTTTATTTTTTTTTATGGAAAGTTTTTGGCAACACAAGTCAGGAAGGGTGTTTGAAGTGGTCAGTGCTGACTCATTTAATAACAAGTCATTTAAGCAGTTGAGGAAAGGCAAAGGTGGGGGAAAAGCACTTTCCAGGATGTGGTTCCACCAGTGACTTCCGCAGCTGCCATTATGTACCTGGGTGCTGGTCTAGCAGCAGTTGGGTATTTTCACAGCTGTAGGAGTTTGTCTGTCTAGATCTGTTCTAAGGAAGCCTTCTGAGAAACTGCAGAATAGGATCTTGTCAACTTTTACAATGAGGTGCTTGGGGAAAGGAGGGAAGCTTTGAGCTCTTGTCTGTCTGGAGAAGAGAAGACTCTGGACAGACTTTTAGCAGCCTTTCAGTACCTAAAAGGGACCTACAAGAAAGCTAGAGAGGGACTTATTACAAAGGCATGAAGTGGTAGGACATAGGAGAATGGCTTTAAGCTGAAAGAAGATATGTTTAGATTAGATATTGGGAAGAAATTCTTCTCTATGAGGGTGGTGGGACAGTGAAACAGGTTGCCCAGAGAAGCTGTGGATGACCCATCCGTGGAAGTGTCCAAGGCCAGGTTGGGTGGGGCTCTGAGCACCCTGGTCTGTTGGAAAGTGTCCCTGCCCTTGGCAGGGTCTGAGTGGAACTAGATGACTTTTAAGATTGCTTCTGTCCCGAATCATTCTATGCTTCTGTATTCCCAAAGGAAGACAGTTTTCACAGTTGAATGTGAGCTATCCTCCAGCATCCAGAGGGCAGACCTCTGTGATTACAACTAGCTGCTCAACCTTCAGAAATCCCTTTTTGTCATAGGCACTTTGGAGAATGATTGTGGGCCTGTATATTACTGAACATGTTTTTCCAATTTTCTTGGTATAGGATATACTGTCAGAGGTTTTGGAATTTACTTGATCTATATAGTCAAAAATAAAAGTTTTTAAGCTTTTCTTTATTTTAACTACAAAAAGCCCATGATACCCAAGCTTCTGAGTTTTGTTGTTTTCAGTCATAGATTCTACATAAGATAACAGTGGTACATGCCTTGAGTTGGATAAAACAAACCTGTTCTTTGGTGTTGTTTCCTTGCTTTCTCTGAAGCTAGCTAAAATAATTCCTATTTCAGTAAATGTTATATACCATTACATAATATTCTGTCAGTATTCTGTTTTTCAATAAGTGTCTGGAGTTAATTATTAGAGCCCAAAGAAGAACCAACAGCTGATGTTTTTCTACTTTTGTAAAAAGCTCACTGACGCAGTTTTCAGACTGAAGATATGACTGTAGAATAGCCATTGTACATCAAGCTAGAGGTCTGTATATAATCTGTGATCTTTTCTCTGTTTTTTTCTGATCAATTATCAGGGACTGATATGGGGGACAGTACTGTTTAACATCTTTTTTAATGGTCTGAATGTTGGGGTGATGGGCCAGCATGTTCAACAGGCATGTGAACTCCTCCACAGTGAGTTGGAGAGTGTCTGATACTGTAGAGAACAGGGCTGCTAGGCAGAGGGACAAGCTGGAAAGATGATCTGACAGGAAGTTTGCTTATCTCTCCTCCCTCTTTATGATTATATGTAATAATCCATGTTGCAGTGCAGGTTTCTATGTAAGTCCATTGGTCATCTCCCTCTGTTAAAGTGTACAGTCATTTATTTTCTCTTATCCTTCATCTTCTCATCATGCTGTCTCTTAATAAGTAAAATACTCATACAAAAAGGCTTCTATTTCTTTCATAGACTTGCTTAGTGTCCTTTGAAATAGTATGCACTTTATTTCCTAGTTTCCTTTCAGCAGAGTGCCTTCTTATCCATGTGATCTGTGATGTCTACAGAGAAATCTGGTTGTTTTGTGAGGCAGCAATTCCTTTAACAAACACTATGTTGAGTCTTTGTCAGTATGTCATAATTATGCAGGTCTCTGCTACTTCTTCCTAACTTTTTGTATTGATTTTCCATGTACAGGTGTTGGGCAACCTTCATACCTCAACTGTCGATCTAGTTTTAGGCAGGAGATTGCATGAGGAAGTTGATATAATTTGTTGTATCTTTTAGCCCCTTGAAATCTTAGTGAATAACATCTAATGTTGTCAAGTTGTTCCAGTTCATTTTATCTAACACTTTTATAGCCTGTTCTGCAGTCACTTTGATTACACAGATTCTCTGAGTACATCACATAGGTACATTCTGGAGTAGGGATCACTTTGCTTTCTTTTGTAGTTTAGCACAATTATGAAGAGCTACTTTGCTCTGTTCTTATTTTCTTTCAAAGGAAT